GAGAACTATAAGACAACATGCCCTAAAATCCATTTCATATCATAGTCAAGTGATGAGCCCATGTGTTGACCACTGAGTCAACAGTTAATAATCTTAAAGTATCATACTCCAAGAGGCAACAATTTCAGAGAAGCCACAATAACTTATTGTACTTGAAATAATTTACATATAATAATGTGTGTATAAACCTGTACATATAATTTTTATCAAGTATAATATGATCATACAAAAACATTGACTCACAATATAGTTCACACATACCAAAGAAGGCTGTTTTATTTTTATCTCTTTTACATCATATTTTAGGCAAGATGATGAAACCCAGAAAATAACAGGAATGGACTAGTTTATAAAAACTGGGTATTTTATAAGTGAAACACATTCAGTCATCTACATCTCTCAAATTGCAAACAATGTGACTTACTATACTCTCAAAATGAACTTAAATAAATTATTGCTCAATTCTAATGACATATACGTTTTCACTGGTTGATAGTCCAGGTAAAAAAAGTATGTAAAGTGATTTATAATTCAAAACATTTCATACAAAAGGATTTTGGGGGGGGGGGTACTGGAAATTGAACTAAGGGACACTCAACCATTGAGCCGCATCCCCAGTCTTATCCTGAATTTTATTTAAAGAAAGGGTTGCTAAGAGTTTTGCCATTGCTAAGGCTGGCTTTCTACTTGAGATCCATCTGTCTCAACCTCCCAAGCTACTGGGATTACAGGCATACATCCAAAGGAATGGTTTTAACCAAACCCTCATAATGGCAAGAGAAAATGCATTGAAATTAAAAATATCTGAAGCAAGCATTTTTAAAGACCATTATAAAAAATACAAAAAAGAAAAAAAAAAGGGGCTGGGGATGTGGCTCAAGCAGTAGCGCGCTCGCTTTGGCATGCGTGGCGCTCAGGTTCGATACTCAGCACCACATACAAAGATGTTGTGTCCGCCGAGAACTAAAAAATAAATATTAAAAAATTCTCTCTCTCTCTCTCTCTCTCTCTTTAAAAAAAAATACAAAAAAGGTTAAAAATGTCATAAAATAAAAATTTATTCAGATAAAGTTAAGAGGTTAAAAACTATCAAATGTATTAAAATCATCTAAAGTCAAATAAGATAATTTATCTATATAATTTAAATTATAATATTATATAAATATATTATATAAATATATAATACATATATAATATAAATTAAATACAATATAATTATATAACATTCTAATTTATATTATATTATATATAATACATTTATTTTATCATATATACATATAATAAAAATATATAAATTATATATATTTTATGTGTATTAATATATAAGTATATTATATATTAATGATAATATATTATATATAATTTATATAATATATTTACATAACATACTTATATATTTATATATAAATTATATATATTAATATATAAATAGATAAATATATATTATATAAATTATATATATTACATATCAAAATGTTTATGATTCATATGTATTTAATATAAATTATATATAATGTATGAAATACATATATATTATAAACACATATAATAAAATAATACAAAAACTAAATATATAAATATTATTTTATTATATATAACATATTTATTATATATCATATAATATATTTAGATTTATATTAATTTATATTATATTGCATATCATTGTAATGTAATTATATAAGAATATAATTTCTTTTATTAATAAGATAATAATACAATTATTATATTAGTATAATTTATATTAATATAATGTATAAAATATAAGTTTTATATTATAATTATATATAAACAACTTATAATATATCATATAGACATATGTACATCTATAATATGTAGTATATAATATATAATATATAAATATATTATAATTTAAATTATATAGTTTAGTTATTTGGCTTTAGATGGTTTTAATGCTTCTGATAGTGTTTTATCCCTTAGCTTTATCTGTACAAATTTTTATTTTATGACAGTTCCAAACTTTTAGTATGTTTTTTTAAATAACAAACATTTATTGGTGTCACTTATGGTAGAAAAAAGTTCCTACACCAGATTTGCATGACCCAATCATTTAATAGAACATTTATGAGGTGAACACACATCCTGACCCACATTTCTATATCCAGTTTTTTAAGATAGCCAATTCCTCCTCTCTCTCTCTTCCCCAAAACATGTGAGCAACTGCTGATGGAAAGCAGTAAACAGCCACTTGGACTATAGCATTTTCAACTCCACTTTGAGGTGAAGATTCCAATTACATTCGAGACTTAAGTTCTCTCAGTTTTCTCCTAAGGAAAGTTCTGAGTCCAGTATTTAAAATATTACAGCACTAGCAGATCAGTGTCTTCAACTCGTCTCTTTCTGCTGTATCCTCTTCACCAGTTGGGGGAGGGCCTACACTTCCATAGAATATGCTGATAATTGGCTGAACAATTTCTTCCAGTTCCTTCTTTTTAGTTTGGAAGTCTTTAATGTCAGCTTCTTGGTGGTTTCCAGCCATTCAATCTTTTCCTCTACAGCTTTTTCCATGGTCTCCTTATCTTCAGAGGAAAGTTTGCTTCCCAACTTTTCTTTATCTCCAATCTGATACTTTAGAGAGTAGGCATAGCTTTCCAACTCATTCCTAGTATCAATGCACTCCTTGAGTCTTTTGTCTTCCTCAGCAAACTTCTCAACATCATTAACCATCTTTTCAATTTCTTCAGGTGTCAGGCAATTTTGGTCATTGGTAATTGTAATCTTATTTTTGTTCTCTGTACCTTTGTCTTCAGCTGTTGCCCAAAGAATAGCATTCACATGTATCTCAAAAGTGACTTCAATCTGGGGGACCCCACAGGAGGAATTCCAGTGAGATCCAATGTACCCGGAAGGTGGTTGTCTTTTTTCAGGGGTCCTTTACCTTCATAGACCTTGATTGGAACAGTAGGTTGATTATCAGAAGCTGTAGAAAAGATCTGAGACTTCTTGGTGGGTACCACAGTGTTTCTTGGTTATCAGTTTGGTCATGACACCTCCCACAGTTTCAGTACCAAGTGTCAGGGGACATACATCAAGCAGTACTAGGTCACCTGTATCTTGATCATCAGAGAGTACACCAGCCTGGACAGTGTCACCATATGCAACAGCCTCATCTGGGTTTATGCCACAGGATGGCTCCTTGCCATTGAAGAACTCTTTAACAAGTTGTTGAATCTTTGGAATTTGAGTAGAGCCACCAAGAAGAACAATCTCATCAATATCAGACTTCTTCAAGTCAGAATCCTCCAGTACTTTCTGAACAGGCTTCATGGTAGACCAGAACAGGTCCATGTTTTCTCTTCAAATTTTGCCTAAGTCAGGGTTTCAGAAAAGTCTTCTCCTTCATAGAAGGACTCAATTTTAATTCTTGCTTAATGTTGAGCAGACAGGGCCCACTTGGCCTTTTCTACTTCATGCTGGAGTTTCTGCACAGCTCTGTTTTCTTTCCTAATATATTTGCCAGTCTTCTTTTGGTACAGCCCGATGAAATGTTCCATAACACGCTGGTCAAAGTCTTCTCCACCCCGATGAGTATCTCTATTGGTGGCCATGACTTTGAAGACATCAAATTGTCAATGGGGAGAAGAGACACATAGAAGGTTCCACCACCCGGATCAAACACCAGGATGTTCTTCTCTCCCTCCCTCTTATCCAGGCCATAAGCAATAGCAGCTGCTGTAGGCTCATTGATGATCCTCATAACATTCAGGCCAGCAATAGTTCCAGCATCTTTGGTTGCTTGCCACTGGCATCATTAAAATAGGCTGGTACAGTAACACTGCATGGGTAACCTTCTTTCCCGAATAAGCCTCCGCAGTCTCTTTCATTTTAGTGAGAATCATAGCAGAGATTTCTTCTGGAGCAAATGTCTTAGTTTGCCCACCTCCAATATCAACCTGAATGTATGGTTTAGGTTTCTCTTCAAACACTTTGAAAGGCAAGAACTTGATGTCTTCTTCACAGAAGGGTCATTCCCAGTGCTGCCAATGAGCCGCTGGGCATCGAAGACCATGTTCTCAGGATTGGAGGTGAGCTGATTCTTGACTGTATCGCGGATCAGACGTTCTTCTTCAGGGGTGAAGGCCACATAAAACGGCCTGATGCGGTTGCCCTGATCGTTGGAGATGATCTCCAGTGGCCATTCTTGAACACCCCGACGCAGGAGTAAGTGGTCCCCAGGTCGATGCCGACCATGGTACCCATGTCCGTTTCTTGTCATCCTCCTCAGCCATGCTGCGCAGAGCAGCAGAGAACTGCGGCCACCAGAGAGAGCTTCATCTTGCCCTAGCTGTTGGCCACTTGCTCTCGTCAGCAGAAAGCCAGAAGTCGCAGGCAATCCAGCAACAGGCCGCAGCTGAGAGCAGAGAGGTTACAGGTCTCTTACACTCCAGATGCCTCAACTCTGTCTGTGTTGTCTCTGCCAATGTCTCAAACTTTTTAGTATTGAAGTGCATTTTCTTTCTACAATTGTATTAATTACCATATGTAAAAATTGACAAGTAGAATGCTAGTGAACACAGATTCGCAAGCTTTTAGGCCACTATGTAAATATTAAAAAAGTTACGTGAATTGCCAATGCTTCCATACATGCTATAACAACACAAGTGGTCAAAGATGCACTAGAACATTATGTGGGAAAAAATATATTCATACCCAATCAAGACTTTTCAGGCACTTGCATTCAGAAGCATTTTATGAATCAGCACAAGGTTTGCTCCAAAATAAAGCTCATTTTCTCCTACTGCCCCTATTTGTTGAGAACAATATTATACATTAAAGATGCATTTACATGAATCATTTTATAGAGAAAATTATTTTAAATTTAAAATTATAATACTTATTTTATGCATAACTTCAAAAACACAGAATTTAAAGACAATAAAAGTGAGCACTATCATTCTATATGACTAAAACACTACCATTCTATATGACTAGCAAAGACAATACAAGGCCAAAAGGCAAAATATACACTTTGGCAATCCTATACAAAAGGGGTTCTGTTACAATATTCTTTCATAAAATAAACAAAATGCATAAAAATGAAACAAGAAAAAGAAAAACTGAATTTTGACAACTACACAAACTGTGGCATTTCAAATTCAAGGTCTTGTAACTCTTCCATTTGTTTTAGCCTGAGTCCCTGGCACATTGGATTCATGTCAGGTAGGCCGAGCTCCTCAGAGTTCTCTTTAGGCTCAGCAGCTGGCTTCAAAGCATAAGCTGATGTGCTGTCTGCCTCTGGAACAGATTTCTCCACATGTCTCAGGAGAGTAAGAACTGTGCTAGGAGGCACTGCTGCTGAAGGTGAAGCTGGTCTCTCCTCAGTCCTCCTGACTTTGCTGGTCGGGGTAGATGGTTTATAAAATGTTGTCCCGAGATGGGGCTGCAGTATTCTGGGTGCTCTTGCAGGAGCAAGACGGTGAGAATGAGAGGACAGTCTCACTGGTGCCTCTCTTGCTGAACTGGCTGGCATGTTGGGCTGTGTGGAACTGCTAGAATGGTCACCACTAACCTTGATGCTCATTGTCCCCCTTTCCTGGAGTACACTTGGCACAATCACTGCACTCGTGCCAGTTAAGTTCTTTGATTCACATTGTTGTCCCTGAGTTTTTTGTGGAATCTGCTGATCAAAACCGTTAATTTGGGAGCCAAAACTAGTAGGGGTATCTTTTCTATTAAGTCCTTCAAAGGTAAGATTCTGGCAAAACTTGTCTGAATTGACAATTCCCACATTTCTGCTGTTTTTCTCATTAGGGGAGCTTGCAAGGTGGAACCTATCTACAGGCAAAAAGAAACATCTGATCTTGGGGCTTGGCATAGGCCTCTGTATATCATTTGTTGTCACATCAGATTTCAGACTAAGTGGTTTCGTGGTCTTACACATATTGTCCATCTTTTGTGATGATGATTCAAGTTCTTTGTGATCTGAAAAAGAAGAGATTTTTTTTTAACTTCATGAAGCTTGGTTAATAAGAAGTGTGGTTATTTATGAATGGGCATTCTCTCAAACAACAGAGTCTTACATATTTTTTCCAACATTATTTTCTCAGTCATCTATGCAGAGGAATTAAAAATCCATACAATATTAAAGGCACATTTTTAATTAAAGCATTACTTTTTAAAATTTATCTTAATAAAACAAATAGTCACAAAGCAAATAAAATAAAAAAACAACACTTCCTGTAGTAACTTGTTTTAATATACTACCCATGAATGAATATTTTCTGTGTTAAGACTTTCCTGATTTCAACAGGCAGACAATGGTAACTCCAGAACAGCAACACTATTCTGTACACCAACAAATGCCATGTCCTGAATCCCAAGGACTTTGCCTGTCACTTAATCTGCTTTTCAGCTACATTCTGTCCATACTGAGGGCAACACACCAGAGAGGACTTGGATGCTCTCCCAGCTGATCCACTAATACATGGTAACATCCTCTGGACAAAGGAAGGTTGAAGAGCTGTCAAAATTGCCATTGTGCTACTGGTCCTGGAGACTCCAGATTTACCTCCTTCTCTTTCTCCTCTCATCTGGTCCCAAGGTCCCTATTTTCTCACCTAGAACCCTAGCATCTCCCACTCTGTCTTTGCTGCATGTACCCCAGAAGCTTCTGTTGCTAGAAAGGTGCAGCCATCTGGCCATGATCCTCGTCTCCCTGCTGAGATACATCAGACAACTGTGTGCCTTGCCACTGGTCTGATGGCTTTCCAACAGCCCTGTTCATAGCCCACAGTTCTCATCCCTGCCACCTGGTCCTTCTCCCGTATCCTTAGGCAGTGGTTTGCAGACAGGTGCACAGCAGCATCACTTGATGATGATCGCAGGTCATCATCTCATCTGACCTCCTTCTTCACCTGAGGCTGCTGGCCTCTCTTCCCTGGTTCCCAGGCAGTGATCATGTGATTTGCTGTCCTGGACCCTTCTCCACATTGATAGAAGTGAGCTGAGCCATTGTGGTTGGATGGCAACCACCAGAACATATTTACAGTCCTGCAGAACTTCTAGCACCACTTCTAGCTGCCTGGGTGCTGGCTCAGCTCCAGCTCCATTTCTGCCCTGGGCAAGCCTAGTGCACTAGCCCTACTTGCCTTCTTCTGTCAAGACAAGCTCCTATGTGGAGATATGTTGGCATCTGGTGTTAATGATCTTCTAAAGAAAAGGCACAGAATTACCTGGTATGTAATAAAAATTTCAAATATTTTAAAATTATTTATTGTTATTACTATACCTACCTGGGAATCCAATTTCATTGGACAGTGAAACAAGGTTACATTTATGAATGAGAGAGGATGAGGTTCAAACCCTGAATCAACGATAATTTAGGGACATGGCCCTTGGCATTATTTACCTTCCTCAGACTGTTAGCTATGGCTTAAAGGAGGCCAAGGTTCATAGCACAGAGTGCTAATAAGATCAAATCATATAAATGGAATCAGTGAGTCCAGTGCTTTTCTTTGCAGAGAGGTAATGGACTGTCTTTGTTTTCAGACTTTCTCAGGCTACACTAATTGATATTTCATTAATTTTATATATCAAATTTAACATTTATGGCTATATATTGAAAAATTTGGATTTAGCTCTACTAAAGCAGTAACAAATGAAAGGTTTACAACCCTCTTACCAGAAACCATTCACTGAAATAAAGCAATCAAAAAACAGTGAACAAAAAGACTGGAGCCAAGAAAATGGAAGACATGTGTGCTTAATGTGCTAAAGTTAGGCCACAGGTAAAGGGACATCAAAAAACTTTAGGAGTCTATTTTTTTGAGTTTCAGGAGTCCAGCTTTTTTCTGTTTTGACTTTAATTGATGAAAAAGAAGTAAAGGTGAAAACAAATCTCAGAAAGAGAACAAAAATAATTTATGAATTTCAAGATATCTTTTTACAAGAAAGAAACAAAGCATGATATTCATTTAAATGATATTCATTAAACTTTCTCAATGGCTAGAAAAGTTAACTAATAAAACCTTGAAGTTTGAACTTACCTCAACTTAATACACCTTGTTTTTTTTTAAAAGGATGAGTATTGTAGATGTACACAATATTTTATCTTTATTTATTTGTTTTACATGGTACTGAGGATCCAACTCATGGCCTCACAAATGCCAAGGCAAGCGTTTTACCACTGAGCTACAAGCCCATCCCTCACCTTGGTTTTTAATCACGACTTCTTGGCAAGGTTTGAAATATGCAAAGATATATGTTACATGACCACTCACCAATGAGGCATGCATCCCATTTTTCCAATGCATTTTGCTTGCATTCTGATTCCTCAAATGATGTAGCCAATTCAAAATTTTCAATTTCAATATCTGCAGTGTGGATATCCTATTGATACAAGAAAAGTTTTAAACTAAAAGCAAAACACATCTCAAAAACAAACAGTTCAAAGACTATTAACTTGTTAACATAAACATCACATATTTAATCCAATTCTGTAATGGTCAAAACTCACTTGCTTTGTAGAAAAATATTGTGACTTTGTGGAATGTTCTGTTGATATTACAGGTTTGGAAGGAGGGCTTTTATCCACCCAAGGTGTAACAACATCAGTACTAGATGAAGCATTTTGTGGCTCTAGGGACCCATCGAAGATCATCTGTGCATTGGTAATGAGGAACTCTACTAACAGGGCCTGATTGGCATATGCAACAAGAGAGGAGGAGATGGTACCAGGAGTGGTTGTAGGCCTGGGCCTCATCAGACAGGGTCCAAATACCACCCCCAAGTTTTTTGAGTTCATCAGGTTTTCTTCAGAATGGTCTACAACCCTGAAAAGAAGAACACATAAAGTGTATGAGATTTGCCTAATAGATGTCCTTAATGGTAGTTTACTATGACTTGAGAAGGGTGGAGAAAACTCGGGCTATAGAAGACTACAAAACGTTTTTCAAGGGTCAAGTTTGGTGGGTCTAGGGAAAGAATCCTTTGTTTCATTATGATACTTACCACACACCAAACTGAGTTTCAGAGTACTATTTTAGGATAAAATGCATGTAAGTAGAAGGAACTACTGAACTCAGTAGCAGAAGGAAGAAAAACACCTCTAAAAATTGCTCCATCTTTGTATGTGGGATATATTCCCCGTTTCTTATACTGGAATCAGAAACATCACTGTCAATTTCTCTCTCACTGCCCAGTTAGTTTTCTTTTTTTAAAAAATATTTTTTACGTAGAGATGGACACAATACCTTTATTTTATTTATTTATTTTTATGCAGTGCTGAGTATCAAACCCAGTGTCTCCCATGTGCTAGGCAAGTGTTCTATCACTAGCCACACTCCCAGCTGCCCACAGCTAGTTTTCTAGCCTAAATGATTCTCTCTCCTGAACATCTCTCTGTTCTATTGCCACTATCAATGTTCTGGTTTTACTTCAAACACTCTCAGCTTGTTATTTCTATGACTATCTAAGGAAATCTGTCTCTGCCTGGTTTAGCTATCAGGATGATACTAGATTCATCTATGGGTGAAAAAGCTGTGATATATAATATATATCATATATATATAATGATATATAATATATATATTATATATCATATAATATATATTATCATATATAATATATATTATCATATAATATATATATGATATATAATATATATTCACTATATATATATACAGTGAATGGGGTAGTTTTGCTATTTGTCTTTCAGAGGATTCATCACTGATGTATAGAAATGCATTTGATTTATGGGTATTAATTTTGTATCCTGCTACTTTGCCAAATTCATTTATTATTCTAGAAGTTTTCTGGTGGAGTTTTTTGGATCCTCCAAGTGTAAAATTATGTCGTTGGCAAAGAATGATAATTTGGGTTCTTCTTTTCCTATTTGTATTCCCTTGAATTTCTTTCATCTAATTGCTCTGGCTAGAGTGGCAAGGATTATGTTGAACAATTTTTAGATGGAATGCTTCCAATTTTTCTTCATTTAGAATAATGTTAGCCTTAGGTTTAGCAGAGAGAGCTTTTACTATGTTGAGGTATATTCCTACTACCCCTAGTTTTTCTAATGTTTTGAACATGAAAAGGTACTGTATTTTGTCAAATGCTTTCTCTGCATCAATTGATGTAATCATAGGATTCTTCTCTTTAAGTTTATTGATGTGATGAATTACATTTATTGATTTCTGTATGTCGAACCAACCTTGCATCCCTGGAGTACACAACTTGATCATGGAGCATTGTTTTTTTTCATATGTTATTGTATGTTATTTGCCAGAATTTTATTGAGAATTTTTGCATCTATGTTCATCAGGGATATGGGTCTCAAATTTTCTTTCCTTGATGTGTCTCTGGCTGGTTTGGGTATCAGGGTGATACTAGCTTCGCAGAATGAGTTTGGAAGGGATTCCTCCTTTTCTATTTCATGGAATAATTTGAAGCCCTTCAAGATATGAATAGTTAAAAAAAACTGTGGTATATATACACAATGGACTATTAGCATTATAAGAGAATAAAATAATGGCATTTACAGGTAAATGAATGGAGTTGGTGAATATCATGAAGTAAGCCAATCCCCCAAAATCAAAGGCTAAAATTCTCTCTGATAAATGAATGTTGATACATAATTGGGTCTCTGGGGATTGAGGAACATTGTTTGGGCTCAAGAGAGGGAAGGAAGAGGAGAGGTATTGGGTAGGAAAGATGGTGGAATGAGACGAACATCATTACCCTAAGTTCATGTATGACGGCACATGTGGTATGACTCTACATCATGTAGAGAGAAATGAAAATTTGTGCTCCATTTGTGTACAATGGTGTGAAAAGCATTCTGCTGTCATTTATAACTGATTTGAACTAATAAATTTTTTAAAATTTTTATTTTATTTATTTATTTATATGTGGGGCTGCGGTTCGAACCCAGGGCCTTGCACATGCTCTACTGCTGAGCCACAATTCCAGCCACAAAAAATAAATTTTAAAAAATTTTAAAAAGGAGATCTTAATTGCTGTCAGAAAGGTCTAGCAGGCAAATCTGAATATGTGAAATTCCTGATTCCAAGTTCTTTAGTGGGTATAGAAACAACATGGTCAACTCATCTGCCAAGTACATAAGATTTTTTATCAAGTCTCTAGGAAGGGTAGCACAGTTCCTGCTACTGCTTGCTATATTGTAGCCTAATGAAATCAGATTTTCCAAATGCAAAATGCTTTCTTGTGTCTCCATGTCTGTTTCTCTCTGCCTCGTATGCTCTTCTGCACGTTCTCTACCAAATCATCACGCAGCTCTTAAAGTTGAACTCAAGGGCATTTGCCTCTTCTGCTCTATCCCTACCCCCAAAACTTCCTCTGCATGCCTACAAGCTGTGCACAGCTACTAGAAAAAGCATGATGGTGAACTGTGGTTATATACAGATCTGTACCCCAAGAGGATAAGCCCACAAATAGCAGAAAACCTATGTTTCCATCCTAGTTTCACCAGCCAGAGCCTGGCACACAGGAAGCATCTGAGGGAACCATGTTTGCTGCATGAACATATATTCAATGTATCCCTCTCCCAACACATAATAAGAACATCCTATAAATCATTTTGAAAATCGTAACACAACAATATAAATGTACTGAATACTATTGCCCTGTTCAATTAAAAATGGCTAAAATGGTATAAAAATTCTTACCTCCTAAGATGGATGATAAGGTAATGTAGAGTGTTAAAATTGGACGGTGGCAATTGTCTTAGAAGATCCTTGGTTTTGAGAAGAATTTGGTTGATTTCCATACACATATTTGGAGATGTGTTGTCTTCAGAGTTGTCCCTTTTGGTGTCCTGTTCTTGGTTAATATGTTGGATAATATTTGCAAGCTCCATAAATTCCTGGTACCATTGGAATAAAACCAATGGTTCTGGTAGCTAAAGAAACAAAATTATATTAAAAATACCTTTGGGCTGAGGTTGTGGCTCAGAGGTAGAGTGTTTGCCTAGCACATGCGGGGACCTGGGTTTGATCCTCAGCACCACATAAAAATTAATAAATAAAATAAAGGTATTGCATCCCGCTACAACCAAAAAATAAATATTTTGAAAAAATCTTCTGCCTGTTTTCTTTGTTAAAGTCAACTATAAGTGAGAGTTACTCAATTAATTTAGCATGTCCCTTTAGATTAACAAAATATAAAGTCAATCTGTATTTATTGATATCTTTTTCAGTACTGGAGATTGAACCTAGGACCTCAAGCATGCTATGCAAGCACTCTAGTACTGAGCTTCATCCCTGCCCTTAAATTAAAATATATATGTTTGGTAGAGAAGTGACTTAGAAAGCAAATCAAAATCTTGACTATAAATTATATTTGTGTTAATAACAAATTAATAGATAATGAGTGAAATTCTAAACTTTAAATGAAGTTTAAGCTTTAAGCTTCATTATGGGATTTTAAAACTCTTCATCTCTATCCTAAACACATTATATTCACATCTGCCCCCCAAATAGCATAATCTTCAGCTGTTTTACTGGAACAAACATAGAATAGTGAACAAAATCTATAACATGAATCAGAAACCCATGGATTTTATGAGTAAGGGGTAAAAATATCAAAATTCTAAAGAGCACAGATTTTACTTGGGCAAGAATGAAGATTAGCACAAGATAATATGACCTACAAAAACATACTGTCAACATCTCATGAAACTTTAAAACAGGCTGATTTGCCATGAATAGATCAAAAAAAGAAGTTCTTACAACAAATATCCACTGCCATAATGAATTTCAATGTTTCTACTGATCTACAATAGAAAATTCAGTGAACTGTTAGCTACCTGATGTCCTATAATATCTGTGGGAAGTTAAGGTGTTGCCCTGTGATCAGTTTCTATCGTCACCACTCTGGGATCTGAAGCAAGTCACTTCACTTCTTGGAGCTTTAGGTCAATGAGTCAGATAAAGGCTACTCTCTAACACTATTGCAAGAATTGAGCACACTTTCCCAAATGAAAGTCTTAGACATACAAAATTCCTCAACAGAATGCAAGTTTATTGTATTGGACCCAATTCATCTCCTCTCCCTAACTGACTAAACAAGATTAAGGATGACACATTATGAGACTTCCAGTCATTCAAAGGTATCCACCTCCATTTCTCAGTTGAGGGGTCTGTAGAATGTGATTAAAGGGTTATCAATGCTTTCCTGGGCTAACTTTGTAGATCAAGCAATGTATACTTAATTTCTTTCCCTCCTGCAATTCCACTAAAATACAGTAGGCTCATAAGGACTAGGAAAATAGAGAAAACAAAAAGCAACAATTCACAAGTAGAAGAGCAGATGAATAAGTCCTGATGCAGCATTTCCAAGAGAGCTGACCCTTTGTCACTCAACATGTTTTTCAGAATCCTAAAGGGACATGGACAATCATTACCAGGTCCTCTGATCTTGGGTTAGGTTGCAGGTGGGCCAGCTGAGAAAGCTTAGCTCTCTATAGAATGCTGTCTCCACTCCATGTACTAGGGCAATCTCCTTCCTAAAGCTCTGGAAAATTTTTCTCTGGGCAATGGGATACAGAGGCTCTCTGAATGGAGGCATTGACAAACATAAGGAACAGAGAGGTAACTGTCTTCCAATGGGGATATGTTGGCTATATACACACTGAAAGCACAGATCCTACAGTCTTAGTAACCCTGGCTCCCACAGTATTGGTACTGTATCTCTAGGCAAGGAGAAAAAACCTTTCCTAGGGGACTAGGGTTGTGGCTCACGGTAGTGCACCCATCTGGCATGTGTGAGGCACTAGGTTTGATCCTCAGCACCACATAAAAATAAATAAATAAATTACAAGTATTGTGTCCATCTACAATTAAAAAAAAAATGCCTTCCCAAGAAGATCGCACCAGTGCCAGAACAGGGAACTAGAGACATGTAGTTAGGCATATACCAAACAGTCCATCTAGACCACTTTATAGTAAAGTTCAAAGTTTTTAAAAAGCCTTGATGTGTTCAAGTGCTTCCAAAGTGATTTCAAGTCCAAACTCTAATATATCTAGGCACCATGAAAGACAAAAATCAAAATGGGTAGAAAAAGAACAAATTGAAGGTGTAAAATGATGCTGTCACTATGCTGTCAACTAGTCAGATATGGTGAGAGAGCACTGGAAATGGAGCTGATCTAAACTGAGATGTGCACTAAATGAAAAATAGATACCAGATTTCAAAGAAGAAGAGCTGCAACACAAATAAATAAATAAACAAAATACCTCATAATTTGAAAAACTAGACATTCAAAATGTTCAATGATATCTTAAAATTCACTTCACTTTACTTTTATTTTTTATGTTGGTATAGAAAATTTAATGTTATATATGAGGGTCACATTGTATTTCTACAGAGGTTAGAGGCCAAATAGAGAAAAGAACCCTTAATGAGAAAAATCTATGAATATCCACAATAAAAGAGCATCACATAATCATTTAAAAAATGTTATCAAAAGAATAGAAAATCAGACTTCTTGAATATTAAAACATGATCTCACAAATGGAGTAATTTACTTATTCAAGAAGAGAAAGACAAGGAACTGTCTTAGAAACTTTTTGAAGAAAAAAGAACAATAAAGAAAAGGTAAGGGAACTGGAGAACAAGTATGCTTGCCAAGCAAGTGCAAGACCCTGAATTTTTGATCCCCACGAGTACAAATAACAAATTTATAAATATTTATATGTGTGTTTGTGTATGTGCACACACACACATCTCCAAACAAGAGCTTCAAGTGCAAATTACAAAGACAGATGGTGGGTGGGAGAATGGCAATAAAAATCAAGAAAAGTTCCAAGAACTAAAGTGCTCACAACTGATGGAGCTCATGGAGTGGCCAGAATACTGGATGGAAATATATCCACATCAAAGTACATCATTATAAAATCTTAGAATAATGAGGGGGGTGATGACATAGTCTATACCAATGAAAAATATGAAACATAAAATATTTTTGCTCTTTGCATTTGATGGTAGGTTTAGAATAAAACTTTAACCTGTTGAAGGTAAAATTTTAACACTTCACAGATGTCGTGTGAAGAAAATTCGGACAGATCTACTAAATGCCTTCCGTTTTCCAGAGCTTGACACAGTATTGCGATTTTTGCCTTGTTGCCACTGACTCGATAAATTCCCTTGAAGAGAAAAGAAAAACAGAATGCAATATTTTACTTTAGTACAAAGGGCAAAATGCAGACATGTAGACAGAGTTGATGTATCTACTTCGATTTTTATTAGTATTTAAAAAATACAAGTTGAAGTTAAATAAATTAACCTTTTCCAAATAAATGTGAATAAATTTAGTTATTACAAATGGAGAGTGCTGATTTTCTTAAAGTCTCTTTTTCATTAAAACAAATCACAAAGGCATTTATGTTTTTAGAGTTTTAAGAGAAAACAACATACTTGTAAACACAAGGCAGTCTTTTCAATTTCTAAAGTACACATTTTGATTATGAAAGGAATGCCATCTGGCTCCTTTTTGGCAACACAGGACAACTCTTCTCCAAATAAGTGCATTTTCCCCGGAAGTTTCCGATGTCCGCAAATGATGGTTAAGTTTGCCATGCATTTTTTATGGCAGACAAGAAGACACTATAAGAAAATGATATTTGAAAACTGATTGACTCACCTTAAAATTATTCACAACTAAGAAAATTACAGGCAGACTAATAATGACAAAAATAAGTAAAAAAGTACTACTTGTGGTTTGTGAATTACATTTAACAGCAAAACAAAGTAGAAAACTATAGAAATAAACTGTGGGACTTTATTAAAAATGTATTGTCAAGCCAGGTGTGATGGCATATGCCCATGATTCCAGCTACTTGAGAGTTGAAACAGGAATTTCACAAGTTGAAGGCCAGACCAATCTAGCAAGAACCCATTTCAAAACACAATTTTAAGAAAGGGTAGATGGGCTGGGGATGTGGCTCAAGTGGTAATGTGCTTGCCTGGTGTGCGCAGGGCGCTGGGTTCGATCCTCAGCACTACATAAAAATAAAATTTAAAAAAAGATATTGTGTCCACCGAAAACTGAAAAATAAATATTAAAAAAATTCTCTCTCTCTCTCTCTCTCTCTCTCTTCTTTCTGTCTCTCTAAAAATATGGCATGTGCAGGACCCTGAATTTAGTTCCCAGGTGTACAGACAACAAATTTATATATATTTATATGTTTGTTTGTGTGTGAACACACACATCTCCAAATAAGTAAAATCATAACAAAAAAGTATATAGCAAAAGAAAAAAATTGTGATTCCAAAAAGATCTTAACTCTTCGCATTTAAAACCTCGAAATATGACAATGCGTTCACAGTATATACATCTTTCAGGAAATCTCCATTTTCTGAACTTATGGGTGGTAGCTGCTTTTGCCATTAATGATTGCTGAAATGTTCCAAGGGAGCAGGGTCCTAGCAACAGAAATGTTAGTATGTAAGAAGGGTAAAATGACAAAAACATATACCACATGATATTGTACTTGGTTGTTCTATTTTCGGGAGGGTGGAGTGGGCTGGTGTTACCCTACATTCACTGAACAGTGATTCTTCAACTCAGCCAAACTTCAATATCCTGCCAATTTGGGGGGTGAAACTTTTCTACCTGGGCCCATTGGGATTTCTTCCAATTCAGTCTGAAAGGTTTTATCAAAATCATGAGACCAGAGCTATAGGTATTGTCAACCTAATGAGGCTTAAGTGTCACTGTTCCCCACTTGCACAGTTCTTACAATAAGGTAGCATTTCTAAGTAGGCATTTCTGGCAAACTGCTTAAAGAACACACTGGGGTGGGGGATCTAAATTTCAAAGACACACATGTATACATGTATAATGTGCTGTGATTTATTTACTCATCCTAAATACTCACCTTCACATCTAATTTTGAATTCTTTTTCATGAAGAGGGAGACCCCTACACCCAAACTCAATAAGGAGGTGAAGTGAACCAAAAGAGGAAAAGAACAAAACTGATATAGAACAAAAAGCTGCCTGCTGTTTAGAAATGGTCTTGGAATATTCACAAAACACCCAACACTCCTCCCTTCCCCCAAAAGATCCAAAGAACTCAGTGGATGTCAAAGATCCAAATGACTCAGTGTGGAACCCTATCCTTGGTCTCTAAGGCAGGGACAGTAGTGAAAAAGTGAAATAAACCAGCACCTGTCTGACTCAAAGAAAAGGACAGTCCTGGTCCACTTGGTTTCCACAGAAGGGGGGCGACCTTTGGAACACCAGATTTTTATCACCGACAGGGTCCTGGGGCATCCTGGCCACATACTCACAGGGACATACTCTCCTTGTAGCAGTTGGGATCTCCCAGCTTATCAATTCCAATTTACACCCTAACTTTGTGTGCTAAGGTCATGGTTGAAAAATGGTGAATGGAAACAGAAGGGACAGTAATAAGGGAAGGACAGAGAAGAGGTAGGATAGAGATGCAACAGAGGGGGCCCTCAGAAAGAAAGGCAAGGAGAGTGTCCCTGCACCTTTAGGCCCCCCTCCCCTCCCCAAAGTAGTCATCAACCAAGGCCTAGATGAGGTGAAGTGGGTAAAGAAAAAGTACAAAGGGAACAGCACTTGTTAGTTTCTTTACCTAGGTACTCATCAGAATGAAATTTCAGGAAATGTCAGGACACTTACAAAAAGATCCCAGTGGGAAAGACGATTGTGAAGACCCGAAAACCAAGAAGGAAAAGTCAAGTTAACTCGTGAGTATCCTGAGTATCACGAGTATCGCTCTGGTCCGCAGCTGCCGCAGCCTCGTCGTCCTGCTCCAACTGCTCACTGATCACCAAGGACCACAGTGTTCTGGTTCCCATAGTGCCCGCTCCTGACGTCTACCACTTGTGGGCGCCCATCTCAAGGTTCCATCCTCCCGGGAGACCCCGCCCCGCCTGCAGCCACCTCCCCTCCGGGACCACCACTGACCCTGTGGCCACCCTGACCCTGGATGGCAATTGGTCAGCAGCCATCTCTGCAGTCCCCAGCCCAATGCAGCGCCAGAGCGACCACCTCCATCCCACACTCATCCCCGCACTTCCTCCAGCGTCCAGGACTCAGACTCCCGCCTAATGCATGGTGAGAGAGGTCCAGAGCTTGCTGCCTCCATCCCCACGCATGGCCCTTGGATGCCCTATCAAGCCACCTCCAAGACCACCCTGGCCACATAAGCCCCTCCCCGCCATGCACTGCCAAGTCCCCCAGAGACCAGCCACTGGCTATGTCATTAACAATATCATGAACAAGTTCCTGATGAAGAGAAATGGTGGGTGGAATGGGGAGCAATGGTATTTGGGAGAGAAAAGCAAATAGAGACAGAGGTATGGAAAGGAGAGGAAATTACAAAAGGAAGAGAAGAGAATAAAGTAGACCAAATGAGATAGGGGAAGATACAGGGAAAAGTAGAGTCAGGGAAAGAGAAAATAAAATGGAGATAGAGATAAGGAAGATAGACAACAGGTGATAAAGAAAGACACCATTCACTGACAGAAAAAGACGGAGAAACACTTCTCATATGCAAAATGTTCTGGTGGAAATGAGGCCAATTCGTCCTTAAATCACCTGGAAATGATAAATAGAATCTGGATCCACAATTGTTTTTCAGATTTGATTTTTAAAAATTTACCCATAAGGCTTAAACATACCTGTTCCCAAATCAATAGCACTAATAGTACTGAAGACACCCCAAACAAACATTCCTTCAAAAACCACTAGAGGAATGATGCACCATATACACCTCATGAAACCACTGATAACTCAAAACTGAAGGATATCAACAGAAGGGATAAGGATTCTGAAAGTCAATCACCAGGTAGAGGGCAACTCTCAAGGGTTCAAGGAAGCAAAGTTTGCCGCCCTATCTGCTCCAGGTTATTCTCAACACCCTCCACAACAGGGGTGCCTTTAAAGCATCCTCAAACAGCCAAGTATTACATGTCAAATCTGATACAGAGAAGGTTTTTGAAGAATTAATATTCACTGGTTAAATTATAAGTGGGGTTGTCTTTCAATCTGAATCCTCCTCCTAAATCCTTTAAATATATTATCTGTCATCCTGCATCCAGATAATGATGTCACTTGCAAAGACAAACAAAAATGGTAGTTCACTTTTAAATTATTTTTTTTTTAATTTTTTTGGTACTAGGAATTGGACCCAGAGATGGTGTACCACTGAGTCATCCTCAGACCTTTTGGTTTTCTATTTTGAGACAGGATCTCACTAAGTTGGTCAGGGCCTCACTGAGTGGCTGAGGCTGGCCTTGAACTTAGGCTCCTTCCCACTCGTTTGGGATTACAGGTGTGCAGCACAGCTTCCAGCTCTCTTTTAAATTAAAAGCATTATTTTATTAATCTCCCCTGACTTGTGTTGTGTTTAAAGTAATTTTATAGCACACAAATCAATTTTGAGCATGAAAACTGCATTACTAAAATAATACTTTTCTGCAAGGCCAAAATGCTTGGTTTAGAATAAAAGTATAAAGTGCCTCTCCAAAAGAAAAAACATCATTATTTCTATTGTGTAAGTCCAACATCTTAAGTTGTTCAACAAGTCTTAGGAAAACACTTCTGGAAAAAGAAGTTTCCAATAATGGAAAAGAATTTTCCATCATGGAAAAGAAATTACTTGCGTTTTTACTATTTTATTTTATTATTGTCTCTAATATTTTTCCTTCTCAAATGGAAATTCACATTCTCTATATGTTGCTTTTGAGTCAGCCATTCTGTGCAGGCTTAAATTAAATATTTCTAAAATTGTGTTCAGGTGTTCTCTTCGAAGTATCTGTGGTTCCAGACCTAATGATCTTTTAATCTGCAGTGGTAACCTACTTTTCACAGCAGAACATAGGTGTGCTATGAAAACATTTGACAAGATCTTGAGACCTGGGTTTTTGTTTGTGTTTTTTGGGGGGATGGTGGGGATGGAGGATTGTGATAGCTAAGGGGGCTCTACTGACATCTAGTGGGTAGAGGCCAAGGATGCTACTAAACAGCCTACATGCACAGGAAGCCCCCATCCTCAACAAGAAATTATCAGTCCCAAATGGTTAATAGTACCTATAGGTTCTAGATCCAACTACTGCTTTGTAAGCTTTAGGACAGAGAAAAAGATTAAATTATGCCACATGATACATCCAACAAAACTTGGACTGTGGGCCATTCTATTGGACAAACAACACAATTTCTTCAAAAAAATTAAGTTGCAAGAAAACAGGTAGAACAACAAATCTCTAAAATTAAAAAAAAAATCCTTAAAAGATATATCAAGTGGGAGAATTAATTAATTAATTAATAATTATTTAATATATTTAAATTTATATTTATTAAATTTATATATTATTAAATATATATTTAAGTATATATATTTAGTTGTACATGGACACAATACCTTTATAATTTTTTTAAAAATGTGGTCCTGAGGATTGAACCCAGTGCCTCAGTGCCTCACATGTGCAAGGTAAACACTCTACAGGTGAGCCCCAGCCCCAGCCCCAGCCCTTAAATGTGTTACTTTTATTTAGCTTTTTTTTTTTTTTTTTTTTGGCTCCTAAAATCAACAGATTATTCATTTCTATTCTTTAAAAGTTGAGAGTCATTTTGTTATAAATGAGCTAGAAATTTACAACATGAGTTCAAAGGAGGCATGAGTTAGCAATTCTTGTACAGTTTCTGGTAAATATGGAGTTTTAAGCTTCTAGTGTAAGATTCACCATCCAATGTTTTGTTTAAGTGGATCCTAAAATATTTGTGGGTTAAGTGACAGAAGTTATATAAGTAGGTGATGTGTAAATATTGTTTTCTAGTGTGAAGGACGTTTTCATGTTAAGGTGGTATGTGAATTCTCCTCGCATTGTGATTAATGTGTGGAGGGAATATAAGGCCATAATTAGTATATTGAGTCCTCTTAGGATAATGGTAAAACTAAGTCATGAAAATGATGCTATAACTACAAATAATTCTCCAGCTGAGGTGATACTTGGTGATGCAGATAGGTTAGTTAGACTTACCAGTACTCATCATGTTACTATTAAAGGAGTTAATATCTGTATTCCACAAACCAATAGTAGTTCTACTATGGATTCATAGTCTGAGTTTGTGAGGCAAAATAACATTGATGATGTGAGGCTGTGGGATGATTAGGACTGTGACTCCAATAAAACTTTGCGGTTTTGGATAAGAGTGGCCACAATTACTAGTGCTATATGATGTGGATAAATTTGTGATGAGCAATTTTTAAGGCTCTTTCAAGTAAATAGAGTTTGTTATTTGTAGTATTTGGTGATTCTCTGTAGGAATTATATTAGAAATGGATAGGGTATACATTGTATTAATGGATTTGAAATTACAGTAGTGCTTATTCTACTATAGCCTCCTGGTCTTGGTAACACAGCAGCAAGTCTGTAGATCCAGAAACTGCAGCTTCTATGTGTGCTTTTGGTTACCAGAAGCAGGATCTGTAAAGGGATATCTTTACTGTGAATGCTATTAAATTTGCCAATCATAGAAGGCCTTTACATAAGGAGCTTGGTAATTCGGTAGTAGGTTATTAAAAAAAAATTAAATGAACCTGTAGAGTGTTGAACATAGAATAATGCTATCAGTACAGGTAAAGAGACAATCATCATATAGAACAGGAAATAAAGTCTTGCACTTAATTATTCAGCTTGGTTTCCTCATTGGGTGATAATAATTAGAGTTGCAATTAGAGTCACCTCAAAAAGAATATAGACTAGTTTTCTGACAGTAAATGCCATGACTAAGCATATTTGTAGAAAATTAATATGTAGATATGTAGTTTTTCTGTATCTGATGTTTTGGAAATATGGTACTTACTGTAATTGCTTGGAGAAAGAGTTGGTTATTAATTTTAAAAGTGGTGCTCATAGTGAGTTGGAGAAAAAAATGAAAAATTTAGGCTATTTTTGCCAAATTGGTTTAAGAAAAATAAGTTGATGAAACTAATTGGTAGCCTATATAGTGATTCAGTTTATAGAATTTTTAGAGTATCATCTTACTGATGAAAATGTAATTATGGGTATGATAATTTTCAGCATTGGAGGAAGCTTAAGTTTTACATGTGGTCTATGCTGTATGTGTTACACACTGTTCAGTAATGCTGGGCCCACAGCAGCTTCACAGAATGCAAGTGTTGATGAAATGATTGGTATAAAGGTGGCTAAAGATAAGGGATAATTAAAATTATGAGAGTCCCACTGGGTATAGTGGCTCCTGTCTATAATCCTACCAACTCAGGAAGCTGAGGATGGAGAAGCAAAAATTTAAGGCCAGACTCAGCAATTTAGCAAGTCCTAAGCAATTTAAGTAAGACTGTCTCAAAATAAAATATATATATATATGGTCTTGGGGATGTAACTCTGTGGTAGAGCACCATTGGGTCTCATTCCTGGTACCAAAAATGAATAAATATATAAATAAAATTATGAGAGTTCCTAGAATAAACAATGATAATATTATGCCTTTTAACACAGTTGGAACCTTTAGGAAGTTGCATATAATCCAAAGCATTTTATTCAAGTAGTGCTAATAACACTATGATAAGAAAAATAGGGATAATAAGTAGATTAACTGTGAACTTGTTGTTAGGAAGAGAAGTTGAATATTGGATTATAAAATGTTAGCCCATTAAGGGGATCAGTCATTTTAACAAGCTTTTTTTAGAGTCAGGGCATATAGTTATGTATTAGATTGTAGATTATACCAGCCATTAAATTCAGGGTGCTCTTACAAGCAGACCTTATGTCTCTTGTTCTGTTGTACTAGGAGAAATATTGGATTCATATAAACCAACATGGATTGTTCT